CATGCCAAACTGATTCAAGAATTTTCAGATTGAGAGAGTGGTTTTTGATTGTATGGATATTGTCGTTGAGAAACCTAGCTGCTTGAATTGCAGAATTAGAAGTTATTACAATAATACAATTTAGATAACACTGTAAGCTTCTAGATGGCTGTTTATCTAGAGGCTTAATCTGCATCGTGAGCCAGGGAAGCATATGGTGGATGATATAAATGATAGAGCCCCTGGTGGATGCTGTAACGGTAGATAAATATTCTTGTATTTGCAATGAATTAATTCTAAGTCTAAAACTCGAGGAGGCTCAGCGATCTGGCACAAATATGCTATCTAAAACCAAGATAATAATTTTCCCTAAATATCCAATTCAAAAAGCACAGAGGGAAATTGTTGCTGGACGGAAAACTGAACTTCCACAACATACTCTCAGTTATGTAGTAGCCGTTTTATTTGCTTGATATTAAGAATAAAGTCTTCTATGATTAACTAATGAACACTTTTGTATTGTTATATAGTTAAACTTCAAATCTTGGGATTGTTGCATCATGTGTCTTATAAGCATATTAATATGTGTTAGGCATTATGCCCTAACTGTTCCAATAACCACGAAGCCGAGAATTGCCAGTAATAGCATGCGAGACATTGGTTCACTTTGTAAGATAGTAAGCAGATTGTACCGTGAACTCAATAGTTAACAGTTAATGGATTAAATAATGTTCTTTAACACTATTTTAGATTTCAATCTATTCTTAAAATTTAAGCAATTAATTCATGTGTGGCCAATCTAAGGCACATATGCTTCCGTATCTTTGATAACATTGAAAAATAATCTGTAATCTCTTAGAACTCAGTCAAAATCCTTAATATATAGGATTTTGAAATATTGTACCGGAAAACAATTTGCAAAATCTACAGTATTTAACTGTTGAATATTGCAGAATTATATTCAATCAACATTTTTTGCAAACATGTTTTTTATTATAAATATAATAAAATCAAAATAGTGTTAGAGAAAAACTATATATGTAATTTTTGAATTTCATCGGAACTTCTCAAAATATCAGACTTGGAGGTTGGTGATCAACTTGGTCAATTTGAATTGAGGTTAACGTCCCTACCTTTCCATCTACTCAGCTGATAAAAAGTTCTGTACTCCACTTTCAAAAATGTTTTTTATTTTTAAAGAATATATATTATTTTCATACAGATCAAGCTGATAGTTCTGTGGCTACCACAAGATCGATTTCAACAATGACCGAACTATCCATGATGGATATTGACAAATTGGAAAAAGATATAAGGTGACAATCAAGAAACAACCCTCAACTTAAGAAGGAAGGTTTTTCAGTGTGAAAAGTCGAGGAAATCTTCCTCAGATATTTTAAGCTCTGACAAACAGGTGAACTTTTACACGAAACTAAAAAGCATTGCTTTATTTCGTGCTCTATTGCAGAGGTTAACCACTGGGTGGAAACCAGCCGCAAAGACAAAGCTTTCGTCTGAGTCACAGTTGCTCATCGTCTTCATGAAACTAAGGCTTGGTCTTTTAAACCAAGATCTTGCCTATAGGTTTGGAGTTGGCTCTGCAACTGTGAGCCAAATATATAGAGAGTGGGTAGAAAAGATGTCTTGCATTTCCTGGCCATCTCACAGGCCTACAGTCATGCCTCAATGTTTTCGACATGAAATTTCTCATTCATGAAATTATTTGTGTCATCGACTGTTCTGAGATCTTCATTGACACTCCTCGTAATTTAGATGCTTGGAGTCAGACTTACTCCAATTACAAGCACCATAATACTACTAAAATTGACTCAGGCTTCTTGAATTTGGTTAAAAGTGGGGACAAGATACTAGCCGACAGAGGGTTCAGAATTGAGCAAGTTGTTGGTTTGAAGGTTTATGCATTGTTGTCCCTGCTTTTACCAGAGGCAAAAGTCAGTTGTCAGGTCGTGAAGTGTCTCATTCAAGGATTATTTCTAAGGCTAGAGTGCACATTGAGCGATGTATTCGCAGAATAAAATCATACAGAATTTTGAAATAAACGTGACCACCCGCTTATTTAACAGAAATGAGTGAAGGAAGATCTTTGGGCTACCATATTTTGACAACTCAGGGAGGTTTATGCAATGTAGCAAATCCGTCCTTGTTAAAATTTTGAACCTGCTTTATTTTAGCTTTTTCGACGATTCTTGCTTTTTCTGTAGTTTTTGGCCTTGAGCAGGGTCACCACAGAAAAAAATGAACAAAAAAGTTGCTTTTAGTAGCCTAGAGCATAAAAATAGTTGCCGACAACTAAGAAAATAGTTGCCTAAATAAGAACAAAAATAAGACTAAAATTTTATTAAATGACTTAATTGTCATATAGCATAATCCATTTAATCAAGTTAGTAGTCCAAAAGTTCGTTGAATTTGATTTTTTTTAAAAAGGCGACATGGCACTTCCCTGAGGATAAAATGAATACTTGAATAAAATGAAACATTGTCACAAAAGTTATATATCAATAAATCCTTTAAAATACCATAACGGCAAGTCTGGTTGTATGCCTTCTCCAGATTGAGGGACACAGCGAAGTGTTCTCTAGAAATGTGTCTCATATCTTAGTCTCTAAGAGTAAAACAATGTCATAGTGGATCCACTTTTATAAGATAAAATGTGCCAGCTTTGTAGTAAATGAATTAATCTAACCTTAAGAATGTAAAATATCCATTTCTGACCTTTTGAAAGCTGAAATAAGCCCTGGTATTAGCAATCTGTGGAGTAAAATATATGTATATATATATTGCACGGGCTGCATCTTAGATAATTATGCTACTCATCAGATTCAGAAGCAAGTGAAATGTGACAGTAAGTAACCTCAGCAACCCTAAGAATCACTGGGGCACCTCGGGATTGTGACACCCGTGTTTACCTATAAAAAAGCAAACCCCCTGAGGTATAAATCTTACTTCAAATTAAATAATAGCTTTTCAATATAAATCCAGTAATAAAAGTTAATTCAGAGTTATTGGCGCAAGAGCCAATTTTAGAGAAATGGCTGAGGATTAAAAGCAGCAATTCGAAGAATACTCTTTTCACCAGAGTCAGTAATGAACAAGACAGCATTGGAACTGACACATAAAATAATTTATGTGAACTATGAATAATGTGCTTATTTTCCTAAAATAAAAAGTCAGTGCAGTTTATGAATCATATACTATTTCAGAGGTAGAAATAAAATCGGGTACCAATAAAAATACTGGAGTTTTAAAGAGGAATATTTTTATAATTATTTATAATAAAAAATGCATGTGCTTCAATTACAATAACTATACAACATAATACACACATCAGCTGCACTAAGAATCACTGGGGTACCTCGGGATTGTGACACCCGTGTTTATCTATAAAAAGACAAACCCCCTGAGGTATAAAACCGATTAATTTAAACCAATGAAACCAAATAAATTTAAACTATTCAAAGCAAACCAAGTTAGTCAAATGGCTTTCGCTTCAAGGTGGAAAGAAAACGGAAAACTACAATGAAAGTCATTACTGCAGTATTAAAATGGAAGCAATTTTATTCAAAAAGGCGTAATAAAAAACTTACACTTGTTATGCGCAACATATTTTAGAAATGTTATTTTGACAATTATAAAAAAAAAATTTATTAATCCTTGAAGTTTATTAATTTTATCTGACCGTTCGATTGTTAAAAAATCTAACTATAATTTCGATTAATCAGTCCCCACGCAGTACTCAATTTCTGTCAAGTCGACGAGAGGTCGAAATTCATTTCACAATCAATACCTAGAAGCCAACTGCAGAATATTTGCTATTTGAGTAATTCACAAATTAATTATCAAAAAATATAAACATTTGGCCAATGTTGAAAAAAATGTCAAATGCTATTTTACATCAAAATTTTCACTTGCTGTTGTTTCACTGGAAGAAAATTAAGTAGACTTGTTTAATCTTTTTAGGCAAAAGAAGAAATGAAATTCTTTGTCTAAAAATGAGTGAAAAGTGAAGTATCTGCATATAATGAAGGATATTATGTTTTCATGGAACAATTAAAGTTTTTAACTGTGTTTTTCAAATATTAAACAAACTTGATATATAGATATGTAAAAAAAAATTTATAACTGCAAATTTTTCATAGGATTATTATCTAGATGCAAGTTTACTTTCATGAATGAGTGCATACATTATATAATTCTTTTAGCCACAATAATTTTGAATTTATATAGTCATCAGATTGAGTGTAAGTCGTTCACTTTTAACCTTTCTAGTCTTACACATATTTTAACTACTTTAAGTTCTACATTCATAATAACTTCATAACTGTCAACATGCATAGGAAAAAATCAAGTAGATTTTACGAAATATAATTTTCATCATTGTTGAATATTGTACTAAATATTTTACATGTAGTTCACTTTGAGGATTTTTCTATTTATCAAAATAGAAAAACTGCAATATTTTCCAGTTATGATTGACATTAAATGAACTTGAAATGTATTAAGTTTACTCATAATCTAGAAATAGACATTTAATAATAGTAATAGGCATCTAACTCATCAAAGAGAGTTAAAAGATTTCTTTACTTAATTTAAAAACTAAGTTCTGAATAAATATAAACAGAACATTTTAGAACAAAAAAAAAAAATTTTAAATTATTTCTACAAACGTGGCTCGCTTCATTATGTATTAGTAATACTTATTAAAATATTCAAGCAAGCAATAATATCTGCAATAATCTCTGCTTTTTTAGGAAACTTCTCAATTTTAGGGAATTTTCAACATTATGTACAAAAAACAGGATAATTTTTATTAAACCAATAAACCATGAGAAACTGGTAAAATCCAGTAAAGTTGGCAGCTATGAATATATAATGCAAATCTTGTCAGAGTATCTAAAAAAAATCTTAGATCCATGGATACTAATTAAATTAAACTAGGATATAGTTCGTAAAAGAAATTCAAGGATGATTGCAAATAAATTTACATAACTAAAAGGAACAGATTTAAAAAATAAACAATTTTATTTTGATGAACATTCACATTCAGCACAATTATTACACGATTTAGCATCATCAATAGCTGGAGGACTATGGTTAGGTGTCCAAGCACCTAAACTCTGAGAACTATAGAAATCCATCGGATATTTCTCTTGCCAATCTATTTCTTTCATGACCACTGCAAATTCATATGGATTAAGCAAAGGCTTTCCAAATGCATAGCCCCAATCAATAGATAAGCGTGGGCATGCTATCTGAACCCAGCTTTTAATGTCTTGAAATAAATTCAGCTTTTCAGGAAATATTTCAGATAATAAAACTGTAACATATCTTTTCTTCCTAAGTTGAAGAATTTTTTTTATGTTATACATCACCCTTGGACTTCCTTGTCTACCCAGTGTGCCCAAAATAAGTCCAAAACTATCACAGTTTGATGCTTGGTCAACCTCTTTCTTTCGTATGCTTATCATCTTATTGTAATCAAAGTGCTCTCTAGTTATTTTTTTATCATAAGGATTATACCTGGAAAAAACAAAGTTAATATCATCATTATATATGCAAAATTTATGAATTAGAAAAGCAAATGTTTGAATAATTATTCCATTAAATCATTGAAGAAAAAGTACTTTCATCAGTTCATTAAAAAAAAAAAACATTTTCTTACAAAAATTCACATATTCTTTTGACTTTACAAGATTTGAATCATTACAAGTCACAATCATTGAGTGCCTTACAAAACTTAAATAAAATATATCACTCCATCAAGTTTCTCTCACAAAGATTCAATCTGGAATCACTGATGGCACTGATGTAATTTTCTAGTTGGTCTCGTTCCGTCTCCCCCCCTTTTTTTAAGAAAATAGAGAAACAGTAACATATAACAATGATTCGAAGTGCTAATACATCCTTAAGAAACTTCTTTTAAAATAATACACTTAATAATTAACAAAATATTTATATATATATATATATATATTTTGAGACTGTTTTAATTTATTTTTCAAAATTTCTTTAAAAAAAANTACACTAAATTTGGTTATAAATAAATTTCTTAATAATATCACTGCAGATTTTCAATAACACATGAAAATGAATACATAATATTACAAAAGATGTGAGCTTTCAAAAGTACAAGATTTTGGTTACTATTCAAAATAACTGTGTTTCTTCAAAATTTTAAATTTATTTTTTCTGGAACATATTTAGGAACACTATCCTTTATAAAAAATATATAAATTTTATGTATTAATTAAATTTCACATATGCATATAGGTTTTTGACATTTTTGACAGTCAGGTTTTTGACGTGACAGTTTAAACCATGGTTTAAACTGTCAAAAACTGTCACATGTCAAAAACCTGCCAACCCTGGTGCTCAGCGATAAAGAACAGGAGATAATACAGTAACCACTAATGTTAATCAGAAATCATATTTAAACAGTCTTCAGAGCTTTATACAGCTTCTGTCAATTTTTGATTAAGTTGGGGAATTTCTTATCTCTACTTGGGGTCTGGTTTGGTAAAAACTGAATAATAGACTAGGGATTGAAAAGGCCAAAATACTGTTTAAATGCCATTGTTTTTTAAATTAAAACAAAAATAATTAATCTTTATGTGAATTTTTATTACATAAAATTTATCATGCAACGTAAGTTAACTTTTTTTTTTTTTCATATTATTCAGTATCTTATCATGGTTTGAAATTTAATATTTAAATCACTATTTTGTAGTATTAAAATTAAAAAAAACTCTAACAAAATATTTTACTCCCTCCATGTATTTCTTTTATAAAACAAAAATATTCTTTTAAAAAGAATTAAAAATTTATATTTTTAATATTTTGTTATAATACTTAGAAATGCTAATTGTATTCGTATTTTAAAGTCTATTTATTAAGCAGATAAAAGGAAGTCAAAGCTTTTCCACCCTGTATTCTGCAGTTCAGTTTTAAACAAATAACATTAGAAAAGCTCAAATTGTTTTAAAAAAGTGATTTTTCTTAATGTTTAAGGAAAAAGAAATTATTATATTAATTCAAAGTTACATATATATTTATCTAAGTACAAAGTTCTAAAGGTAGAGTTATGTATGGTAGCATATTATGTATATAGATTACTAATTATCAGTAATAAGTCAAATAAGAAATAGCTATTAATATAAGAAAGAGCAGACTTTAATTATGTTTAAAAAAAAAACACTTGGGCCTTGGTTTTGTTTTACTGGCTTCTTGGTTGGTTTTAAAAAACCCTGCATACAATAAAAAAAATTCTTATTTTTTATCATCCTATTATATGTAGAAGATTATTTATTCTCACTTCACTTGATTTTACATAGTAAGCTGAAAATGTTGACAGTTTTAAACATGGTATACAAGTTTTTGGTTAAACATGGTATACAAGCGTACGAGTTTTTAAACAAGAACTTCAGAGTTTTTTTTTTAACAATGTTATGATTTTGTAACAGTAAAAAATATATTCTCTAGATTTGTTTTATTTTAATAAATTTGTTAAAAATTATAGCCTTAGCATATTGTAGCCTTAACATAGCTGCCAACCTTAGGAATTAAAAATTAGGAACACTATATGCGACAAAATTATACGCACTAATTACGAGAGAAACACAAAAATTTAACTATTAAATCACAACATTAATAGACATATATATATAAATTAGTAAAACAAAACTATAAACACTATCTTTTGTGGGAAACTTATAGTATTAATATTTTATAATTAGGAATACCAGTATAATAGATTAAAAACAAACATTACCTGTTAATATATAATTGTTTATCTCCAAATTATAAAACACAGGTAAATAATAATCTACATCAACATCATAAACAAAAATTTCTGATGCAAGTGTAATACTACAAAAAAATTATATGGATTTAAAGATTAGGAACAAATCCGAAAAATTTTGAACAGTTGGCAGCTATGCAATGATAGTGCATGGCTATATTGAAATTTTAATGAATTCTTTGTTCATCAGACATTGTGATTTCGTGGTAAATTTATTTAACACCAATTTCGCTTTTACAACATTAATTTTATTTTAATGAATTTGATATAAATAATTATANTAGCCTTAGCATATTGTAGCCTTAACATAGCTGCCAACCTTAGGAATTAAAAATTAGGAACACTATATGCGACAAAATTATACGCACTAATTACGAGAGAAACACAAAAATTTAACTATTAAATCACAACATTAATAGACATATATATATAAATTAGTAAAACAAAACTATAAACACTATCTTTTGTGGGAAACTTATAGTAATAATATTTTATAATTAGGAATACCAGTATAATAGATTAAAAACAAACATTACCTATTAATATATAATTGTTTATCTCCAAATTATAAAACACAGGTAAATAATAATCTACATCAACATCATAAACAAAAATTTCTGATGCAAGTGTAATACTACAAAAAAAGTATAAAAAAAATAAAATAATAATAATTTAGTGTAATAATCAGCAACAACTACTGGAATAGTATTTTCCAATAAAAAGTTACTAAAAATTACTTTAGCACAATAATCATAGGATGCATGCTTGTGGCGATCAGAAAAAAGGATTGGTTTAAAATCAAAAATTTTATGAAAATCCAGATTTTTTATAAAAATATCAGATTTTCAGATTGGATTTAAAGATTAGGAACAAATCCGAAAAATTTTGAACAGTTGGCAGCTATGCCATAATAGTGCATGGCTATATTGAAATTTTAATAAATTCTTCGCTCATCAGACATTGTGATTTTGTGGTAAATTTATTTAACACCAATTTCGCTTTTACAACATTAATTTTATTTTAATGAATTTGATAAAAATAATTATAACCACTTTTCAAAAAAAAATCCTATATAAAACTAATTGTATAAAACTTTTATGTTATACCACCGTAAAAGCTTGAATGACATGAAATCGGAAATTTTTGTGGTGGCGCATATTCTGCATATTTGAGCCTCAAAAATCTTAATTTCTTAATATTACTGTATTTTTCTAGGGGCAAAAAACATGCCGCACCTAAATGTAAACTAAATATTATCTTGATCAACACTTGTGTTTATGATACAGGAGAAAAAAACTAAAGTAGTGACCAAAAATTATTTCTGATAAATAAATGATAAAAAGCTAAATTGTAAAAGAGGAACATGAAATAAATATATTGTCTAAAATTTTAGCTCTTATTTCTTTAATGCCAAAAATAAAAGTTTTTGATATTACTCAAGTGTGGTTTAGAATCAGGGTTCGCCAAAAAGGCCCACCTTGAAAAAAACCCAACTTGGAATGCTAAGTGAGGTTTTTTTTTTTTTTCTAAATATATCAGAACTTATTGATGCATGTTTAATTTTATATAATTAATTGTGTAGCATAAATTTGTCAGATAGAGTTGCCTGGTTAATATGATAAAGTTTTTAATATTTTCAAATTAAAAGAAATTCAAATCTATACTTTTATATATTACTATGGAAAACCTTAAGCAGGTTTTTTCAAAAAGTATTATTTTAATGAAATTAAATCAGATAGAAATTTAAATAATATAGTCTCTAAGGATCAATTATTCAAATGCAGTTACATGCTTTAGATGATTAATAAACTGACTTTTAATAAATAATAAAAGAAGTTACCAATAACATGGTCATGGCATTAAACAGGTTTTTTCAAGGAAATAATTTTATAAAAAAAAAATACTAACACACGTTTAGCTTTAAATAATTTGGTATGTAGACATAAATTCTAAAAATGCAGTTGCATTGTTACACATGCAATACAATAAACATATTTAAACAGTAAACAAATTTTTATAGATACAAAGAGAAACTGAAATCTTATGACTTATCTTTAACTTTATTTTATAAATAATTATACATAGTTCTTCTTATCTTCGATTGCTACCAATGGATATCATTTTTAATTTATTTAAGTATTTTGAATATAAAAAAAATTTTAAGCATAAAAATATCTATTATATAAGTAAATGGAGTGTCACTGACACTCTTAAAAAGAAAAGTAACAAAATAAGACAAAACAAAAATAGTAGATAGAATAGTAACATTTCATTTTAATATAATTTATTCTGTTTCTTTTAATCATATATTTAAAAAAAAAAAATTTAATTTTTTACCAAGTGATGCATTAACAAAATTAAACAGTTTTATTTTCTGGTTTTAAAAAATAAGCTAAAATTCTTTATACATGCTTTTTTTCATAATTTTATAAATTAATTTGCTTTTTGAATTCAAAATATAAATTTAACATTATTTATCTAAAAATGAGGTCTTTTCCTAAAATTAAATATTTGAAAAAATGGGACAAGTAACTGATACTCTTAATAATTACATAAGTAATTTTAATTTCCCTTTCTATTAATCTTATTATAACAACATGGAAGACCATTAAATATTTATTTATTTATTACCATTAAATATTTATATGGTAAATAAATTTGTGTGAATTGTGTTGTTCCTTTTATATTACTGTTCCATTTATATTTTATAATGCTTGAGTAAAAAATTGCGAAACGTTATGTATTTAACAAAGAACAAATATATATTAGTGATAATGCGTTATTCAAACTTATTTTAATTTCGTTATTTGCGTTTTAAATTAATTTTTTAGATTTATTTATTAAATCAACTTTTTGGATCTTTTTTTAAGCTAATACAGCATTATTTAATAAGTAAAAATACTTACACAGTAAAACTTTAAAATTTATGAGCATTACATGAAAAATTTTCTGCACAAAAATTTTATTTCAATAAGGATTTTTAGAAAACTTACTCAATTTTAAGGAATTTTCTAAAATATACAAAAACCAGGAGAATTTTAATTAAACCAGTAGACAAGGAGAAACTGGCAAAATACAGTAGAGTTGGCAGCTATGATATTGTAAACAATGTATTTTAATCTTAGCGCCATAAAAAGAAAGGTATAATCATAATGCTTATACTAAATGAGAAAATAGAAATCTTATTTTACCTATAAAATTCTAGTTCAGAATTTGCAATCATTACAGATTCCAGATGAAAGCGTCCATCTCCAACAAATATGACAACTTTGGCATTGCTAATCTTAGGTGAAGTACAACCTAACACTTCCCCAGGTGATAAAGGCTTACACTGAGGAATATTAATATCATAACCCACATCTCGTAAATCAAATGCAACCTGTTGGATGCTAGACACAAATTGTATTGTGCTCAAAAGCACAATTGGAGAATTAGTATCAAAATTTTTCGAAATAGTTTGTACCAAATGTAAAGAATCAATTTTTATATCAACAAACACATAAAGCATACTAATTTTTTCAGTCATGTTCACCGGAATTAAACAACTATGGCCATAATGAACCATTAAATCAGCTCCTAAAGCTCTGGCAGTAAAATCGTCGATACAACAAGCTCCGTAAGTAACATCTGCCATGATGATTGTCTGTATTTTACAAAACGTTTCTAGGATATCAGCTATAGTCAATGCATATATTAACAATCCCTCAGGAAACTGTAACGCAACACATTTTGAATTGCACTTTTTAATCCTCCAAATTGTTTTAGGAATTTCAAAATTGTAATTATCAGGGAGTATACGGAGAGCTTTAATTAATTCTGGATTTTCAGATATTTCAGAAGGAACACCGGACACTGCTTTCCGCTTTGGTCTGAATACTTTTCTATCAGGTTTAGCAGATACAATTACAGTTCCAGAATTTTCCGACGTAGTAGACATTTTAAAATCTAAAGAATAGTGCAATTAAAATTCTACAACGATATTTGAGGCACTATCATTAAACTGGAGAAAATAAGAACTAATTTTAAAATAAAATAAAACCATAATGGAAACGTGGAGAGTAGTGTAGTTCATACTTAATGAAAAGAATGAGCCAAAACCTTCTCATGCATAGACTTTTCCGGCTACTTATTTCTGTCTATTAAAGATTTATTTTAAAAGTTTTATTTATATTAGTTTTATTTTAAACACCATTTTTTAAAATTCAATTCATTTCTTATGTCATATTTAAATTATTAGACAGTGATTTAGGAAGTAAATAAGCTTCTTTTGACAAAATTAAAAATATTAAAATAGCATTCTGTCAATTTCAAAATTGGCAACTAAGGAAGTAAATATAAACATCTGGAGAATGGCTGGTTTTGGTTTCGCGGGACGACGATCTTTTTATAAATGGATAAACACAATTTTCAATAAGTAAGACCTTCTTAAATTCGATGCCTAAAAACATACCTATTTTTTATATATTTAATTACAGAAAACTTGCTTTATTCACTGTCTTTAATGGTAAATGATTATACGCATCATTAAGACGTAAATGATGCAATTGACAATCTTATTTTAGAATTGAAAATTGCATATGATTTATTTAGTAAATATATCTTGTAAATTTATTAGTAATTTTAATACTTAGTTCTCTCTGGGAATAAAAAAGGACTGAGTGCTTCCTCTCTGAAAAGAACACTTTGGCTCTCTAAGTTTTGAAAGAGCATTCATCTAACATCATAAATATTTATTATAATGTGTAATGATCGAGAGATTTCCGTATAGTGATCAGTGGCAGAATAATTGCCAAGTCTTAGAACTTTCGGGGAACTTTCCGAGCAACGGTTCGCGAGTAACTAAAAAAAAAAAAAAAAAGAAAGAACATCACAGAAAGAGTAATCAAATTGAAGGGAAATTCGTAACGGGAAATCACCAATTTTTTTTCTTTTTCTAAATCAGTTTAAAATCAATTTGGCGATTGGCATAGCAGATCACGATTTGGAAATATCCTGTCAATCTCTGGGCATATTTTTTTTTAAGGTAAAACAAGCAAAAAAATGATTAATTGATAAACTGCGCAAAAGTTTTTTTCTATAATTTATACTGAAAATAATAAGAAAATAATCATTTAAAGGTGCATTTCTTTTAACAAAAAAAATGGCATTTATTTAAAAAATAGTTTTGAATTTTAAAATCACTTAAAGAATTTAGAAAAAGATACTATACCCTCCCCCCCCCCAAAAAAAAGATACTTATAAAAATTGAACCAGAAGAGACTAAAACTAGCAAAATAAATATTTGTTAGGTTTAATTCTGATTAAATTAATCAGAATTAAACCTATAAACACAGATAATTTTACCAATGGGTAATTGTTATTCAAACAGTGAATTAATTCATTTCAGAATGGAATTTGAATAAAAAGGCAGTGTTTTTAAGGGATGTCTGCTTTTTTTTACAAAAAGGACACATTTATTGGGATCAAATGGGCTAGCAGGGTGGGACGCCCTTTAAAAAACACTTTGATAATTATCAAGCAGTAGTTTAATTTTTCTTATGAAAATGTATTTTGTTAAGTATTAAATTTATTTTATTAAGCAGAAGTTATCCTCTTAATTTGGATTTTCTTTTGTAAGCTTTCAAGTTCAATCTCATCAAATCCATTTCTAATGGATCAGCACATTATTTTTAATTTTTTTTCTTTACATTCTGAATTTGCGATATTTAAGAAGCTATTATAAACCAGAAAACAGAGAATATATGTCAGCTATACTATTAGTCCAGTATTATAAGTTGCAAAATTTATATCTGGCCTATCATCTTACATACACTATGATTTTTTTTTAGGGTTGATAATCACCGTATAAAAGAAGTAGGACCTGACCGAGCAGCTGCAGAATGGCTTTTGAGATGTGGTGCATCTGTTAAATGGAAAGACCAAAAATGTTGGGTGTCAGATTATAATTCCCTGGAAGTAAACACAAAATTGCAGCATGTTATTGAAGATATTGATGCTACAGAATCATGCATAATGAATGAAGGATTTCATTACTTCAGTGAGTGTGGGATGATTTCTGGATTGGTACCTATCCCAAAATAATTGCTATGTTTTAACAACTAAGCTGTGGCCTGCGAGAAACAGAAATACGGGACCAACTTGAAGGGTATATAAGTTGTAAACACCCCTAGGCAAAAAGTATTTTTTTTTTTTTTTNTTTTTTTTTTTTTTTTTTTTTTTGCAAGTTTTTTCGCTATTGTAATTGGTGCAAGCAGATTCTGCTATAGAAATACCCCTGTGAATTCAGTTTTATCTAATATATTGGGAACAGTAATTTTTTTATTGTTACAACTTTTATTATAAGGCATAACCGGTCTTATTAGAATATGTTCAACTCTTTATTCTCTTTGGAATTTCTCACAACAAAAAGTTGTTTTTTTTTCAAAAGTTTCAGACAAATTTAGATTAAAATAAAATTAGACAAGAAATAAATTATTTCAATCAGAGTATTTGCGAAGTAATTCTTATGACTATTTTAATGTTAAAAACTGCATTATACTGATAATGCTAAATCTAGTTATATATATATTTTTTTAATTTGTTATATTGAGTTTTTATTGGTTAGTTATTGAGAAAAAAGGAACTTAAACAATTGTTGTAAGAGTGGGAAATGGGATTTATATTACTATATGGGGTCAAAACAAATCACTTCTACTATTTTTACTACATCTACATTCTATTTAGATACTTTGTAATTGTTCCACTACTTTTTTATAAAAGTATTTTAATAGTTTTTCTGCAAATCCCTATTATTTTAACCTTCTTTATTCATAAATATGTGTATGTTTGTACAGATGTATTTTATTTCCTCATAGATGGTCTGAATAATTTAAGAAAAATCAAGTTCCGTAGATGTATTTATTTGGATGATACCTGCATTCATAAGTTGACTGAGACTGATGTTAAAAATTCTTTGCAGCATCTTGAAATAATTAGTTGTGGCAATATAACTGACAATGGTGTTCTTGGTGTAACAAAATTTAAGTATGTTTCTTATTATCTGGGTGCACACACTTGTTTTCTAATCATGCAAAAGTGTTTCTCTGTGTAAATTGTCAAAAGCTTTTTCCAAATCTGTGAAAGTTAAATATATTTTTGATTGCTATTCAATAGATTGTTTGACTATAATCCTTAATTGCGTGATGCGGTCAATACATGATCTATTAGCTCTGAAACCTGCTTGCTCTGGTTGCAGGCTTTTGTCAGTTGCATTTTTCACTCTTACCAACACTATACATTTACACATGATTTCTCTTCAGTTATCACATATCGTCAAATCACCTTTTTCGGTAGTTTTAGCAGCAGGCTTTCACCCCAGTCATTAGGCCACTCCTCTCTTTTCTTGATATTATTATATAAGTCAGTTAAAGCTTTGATTGCAATTTTTTGAACTTTTCTTGAAAAGTTCACCAGGTAGGTTATTGCCGCCAGCAGCTTTCCTACAGTTAAGCAATGTTATTGCTTGCTACACCTCTAGCTGGGTTATTGGACCTGTGTCTATATCTGATTGTCTGGGTGCTTCTTCTTGAATATCTTCCAAAACAGCTGGATTTTGTCTGTTTAAGGTTCTCTTTAAAATGATCAACCCACCTTTTGGTTTGGTATTCTTTTAATGTAAGTTTTAAACCTTGTTTGTTCTTAATTGGCCTCTCAATCGCTCATCTCTTTCCACTAATTTTGTTAGTGATTTCATAGAGCCTTTTTTAGTCATTTTTTCTAGCTGCTTCTTCAGCTGAATTGGCCAGATCTTTGTAATAGTTCCATTTATCTTGTCTTGCACTTATCATACATTCTTTATTTTTCGTTTTATAATCCTCCCTTAGTTATGGTTTAAATTCAGCAAATTCTTCTCTGATTATATTTTTGTCTTTTCACCTCTTCCACAAGTTTTTGGTCTTTTCAGATATCCACTCGTTATCATCAAATTTCTTCTTTCCAAGAATTACTTCAGCACTTTCCATATATATCTTTTTTTATTTCTTCCCATTCTTTGTTTATTTCCATGTCATTTAAGTGATTTAAAGCCTAAAAAAACTTTTCCAAAGTCAGTTTAACTATCTAAAATTCTTGGCTAATTATCTTGCTCTTTAATGTCTGGACATTAAATCTTGTTCGATTGCATTCTTTCTTCATGTCACTCAACTCAAATTTTACTTTACCAAAAACCAATGAATGGTCAGAATTGGCATCTGCTCCTCTCATGCCACGAACATCTAACAAAGACCTCTTCCATTTTGTAACAATAGTTATGTGGTCAGTTTGATTCCTTCTCTTTTTATTGGGAGATATCCTAGTAGCTTTATGGATATTTTTGTGTTGAAATATTATTCCTCCAATACATAAATTGTTAGTGATACAAAAATTGATGAAAAGCTCCGCATTTCCGTTCATTCTCTCAATTCCATGTCTTTCTATTGTACATTCAATTCAGTAGTTCTCTGATCCAACTTTAGCATTCAGGTTACCAATATGTTTTTGGAATTAATGCTATCTTTAGTATCCTGTAAATCACTGTAGAATGTTTGTTTCTCTTCATCATTACTGTCATTAGTAGGTGCATATACATTAATAATGAAAATAATTTTTTGTTTTCCTTTGAATCTAGCTCAAATTTTTTTCTCAGATACTGAATCCCATTCCATCAAAGACTTTCTAGCTGCTCTGGAGAGCAAGAATGCTTACAGTTTATTTCATCTCCAAATACAGGATGCATTTTCAGAGAAAGTAATAGACTTCCATTTTTAAGTCAGGTTCTCCACTTGTATTCCACCTAGTTTCAATGATGCAAATGAATGTCAATTTTATATTGTTCCATTACAACTTCGAAAAGTTTACCCGTTTCATATACTGTTATGCGATTATAAAAAAAAAATCAAGAACAGTTTCTCCCACCTGGTGAATATTTGCAAGAGGATTAATTCTTTCTTTGCTTTCAATTTAGCTGTATTTAAATCGATGATGATTTTTTTAAATTTATTTATTTGGAATATTAGGGGATGGGACTTTTTGAGATAACTAAATATTGAAGGGGTCACATGCCTACCATCCCGAAAGACCACCACAAAACACTTGAAAATAAAAATTCTGTTAAAATATGTATTTATGTTATTTTACAATTATATGTGTTTTTTTCTTTTTTTTTTAAATGGTTCTCTTTTCAGTTATAATTTTATTTTACTAGGAATTTAAAGAAGCTCCATCTCTTTGATCTACCAGAGGTGAACAGGGAATGTCTATGTGTTCTTATCAAGAGTCTACCTGATTGTGATATTGATTTCCCAGAGAAGAAATCCTCTAATGATGTGTGATAAGACAAAGTCTAACTATAAACCATCTCTTTTTGTATTTGAAAAGAATTGTAAGAATAATTTATGAATATTTTTGTCTAGCAATTATGCAATCTGAAGAGTAAAATGAGTGTTCTAAATTTGTTTATGAGTTATTTGCAGTGCCAGTAATTGAACTTCACCTGTTATTTGTTCATTTATTTTAAATTTGCAGAGAAATAATTTTCAAGCTCTTGGTTAAAAATGGCATTTCTGGAAAACAACTGAAGTTTGATTTTCGTAGAGAATAGTGTTAAATATATCGTTACAAAAATGATTTTGTATGTTCACTAGTCTCAAGATTTTTATATGTATGTATTTTGTTGCAAAAAATAAATTTTATCTTTAAAAAATAAAAGTTTTTTTTTTATTTCCTTACAGACTTTATGATGTAATAATTGAATAAGAATTTCAACACCTGACAATTTGAAATGTGAATTGTGAAAAGCAAACAGATAATAAAGTTAACTAAAGTCATTTACAAATTTAAAAAAATCTGTGATTACCATGCTGCCACCTCTGTGATATTTTCTAACAACTAAATAAATATTTTATTTTATTTGAAATTTTTGTTTAGCACAAGGAGATAGAGAGCGAGAAAAAGAACTATTTACTAAAAAAAATACAATACTGTACTTTACTAGTACAATACTGTATTTTGTAGCATTCTCAAGTGGGAAGAAAGCAAAGGCGTAGTTTGTAAAGAAATTTGAATTAGAAAATATTGTAAACAAAAAAGGGAAGAAAAAGAATAGCACTGTTTAATTGGCGATCGAAATGGGCTGCAGGTGGCGTAGAGCAGAAGTCTCTACCTATGGCAACACTTCACATGCTTTCCCCATTACCGTGAGGGGAGTGATAAAGGAAGGAAGTACGTTAGTTTCTCTCTTGATTTTCATATAGATTAAAATCTTTTAAGTTGGAAAACTATATGGAACTGAAAACTACATTAAACATAGTTCTAAAGAAAAGCATCCTGGAAATTTTAAATATTTTTATTAAATAAAAAGGGAAAATATCGTAGGACATTCCTGTACAACTGAAAACAGAAGGAGAGGGAAGGGAGAAAGGCCAAAGGCATGAAACCGGTCTCACCCGGATGGCGTATATGTTTCCAGGAAAACTTGATAAGTTTGTTTGTCTTTATACTGTGTTTTATAACATGGTTAGTACATTGTTTGGATCTTTTAAAGACATCACTAAAAACGATAGAAATAATTTCTAAGGATCCAATGAAGAAAGCAAGAGATATATGACAAAAAACTAACCCATCATGAGGGAAGGTGGGCGCACGATGTGCCCACTTAAAGCTTTGGGGGGAATTTTTACACTAAATAAAACGAATAGTTTGGGGGGGGGATTTTGACGAANAAAACAAAAATTACAGTCATCTCTCTCTGTTCTTGATTCTCATTCTGTAAAGTCAAATGATGAAAGTAAATCACAAAAAGTAGTAAAACGACTAAATAAAACTAACCTCTCATCACCAATTTTTTTAAAAAAATATGTGGAATCTTCACAAAATGCTTCAGATTCTACCCCAAACAAGCAACTTAATTTCACAACAGATGATTTGTTTGAGGATGTGGTGTGTATTTCAGATTCATTTCAGAGTTCTGAAAAATTACCACAAACTACTGGAACTTCATGTGATAATTCAACATCTATTCAAGTTTCAAATTCTATTCCATTGAAAAAAAGAGATAATGCTAATTCTGATCTAGATATTGTTTATCTCGAGAGTGTAAATTGTTCAGCCCATAAAAAGAGAAATACTCCAATAGGAAAACAACATAAAACAAAAATAATAAATAAAAGAAAACTTGCATGTTCTAATCATTCAATTATTAATTTTAAAAATGTTTCTAAAAAAAATGATTCAGGAAGGAATAATATTCAAATTACATGCAATCGAGACATTACTGGAGAACTTGATGAAAGTATTCATTCTGATCAACCATTTGCTACTAGTAATGGAAGTTGTGCACTAACAAGAAGTCGTAATGTTACAACATGTTTTAAAAATTCTAGTTCTGATTTTGTAAAATCAAGTATAGCCGTAAAGTCTTATAAAAATGTTAAAAACAAAGGTCTATTGAACGTTGAAAAGACAAATTTTGATTGTGATAAATTGAGTAATATTAAAAGAACTAATGTACAGGTTATACCGGAGTATGATTTAACTGAAGAATCTGAAGCAATTGTAGATAAACCTGATTTGAATAAAAAAGCTAGTGAAGTAATTATAACTCAATTTGATTTGGTAAAAGAATCTAATAAAATGATACCAAATATTGATTTGCCCAAAGAATCTAGTGAAGCAATCAACGTTGATGAGACAGAAAAGGCTGGTGAAGTGATAATACCTCAGTTTGATTTGGCAAGAAGGTCTAATGAAATGATATCAGAAATTGATTTGTCAAACAAATCTGGAGAAGCTATCAACATTGATATGTCAGAAGATTTTGTTGAGGTGATTTTGCCAGAACTTGATTTGACAGAAGAACCTGTAGATTTTACTATTCCTAGACTTCATTTAACTGAATCAATTCATTATTCAAGTACAGATTTTGAGTCACTTAAGTCTAAAGGTGTTGTAATTCGAAGTGGAAGATGGTCAAAAGAAGAAGAAAATCTACTTAGGAGGAATTTCAAAGATTTTCAATCTCGATTTGGTGTTTATGATGCCCTGCTTTTGCTGGGAATTGGAGGTCGGTTACCTCCTTATAAATATAAATTCGAAAACTTTAAGAAATTTCTGAGAGTAAAACATTTTTATGTTAGATTGGGTAAAGATATCAATGAAAGAACACTTCATAGTATATATGAGAAAGCTCGAGACGTATTTAATCCATTTAAAAAAAGTAAAGATTGCACTTCTAGTGATGTTGCCTCTATTATTTTGTTACAAAAGAGATATGGATGTAAGTGGACTTTAATTGGACAAAAATTAAAAATAAATAGCGTGGACTGTTATAAAATCTATATGCAGAATAAAATGCCTTGCTTAAAAGGTAAATGGTCTAAAACTGAGGTCATACAACTAATTTCAGCAATTAAATCTGTAGAAAATGGTTCTGATTTGTCTACTGTAAACTTAAAGAGAATTTCTTGGGATAAAGTTTCTGAACTTGTGCCAACACGAAATTCTGATCAATGCCGTTTAGAATGGATGAATAATCAAAGTAAAATTTATAAACGCATTTCTTATCAGAAGTGGAATAAATCCCATTCAGCGAAATTGATAATTCTTCTGAAAAACAAATTTAAATATTTTGAAGAATATCTTATAAATTGGACAGAAGTTTATAATTATTTTAAAAATGTAGTTCACTCTGAATGTGCTCTAAAACAAAAGTGGCATACTATGAAATCTAATGTACCTGATGAATATAAGATGAATTTTTCTAAGATTCTGGACTTATGCTTTAAAAAGTATAATAAGCATATTATGGAAATAAATCAAGAGAATTTTTAAAGCTTCTTTATTGGGTCACTTTTTTTTGATCTATAGTTTTCAATAAATAAGATAGTATTCAATAAATATAACCATTCTGTATAAGCAGTAAAGTTTTGAAATCTAATATGAAATATCACTTTTTAAATATCTTAATAAGCATGCAAAATTGTATTAATTTTTCTCTTTCACTCTCTCTCTCTTTTTTTATTTATTGCTCATTATCTCACTTTTTAAGTTCTTAAAAAGAAAATGGAAATCTTTAATTGTTGATATGATTTAGATTATTATTGAAAGTAGGTACTTAATAGGTTTTTGCATCTGGGTTACAGGGCGAGCAGGCCCGTCCCTAACCGATTTGAGAGGGGGGGTGTTGAAGTTTATTTTGCCGCCTGTCATGTACATATATATACGTGTGTGTGTATATATATATATATACACATACATACAATTTGTTTATGGCTTAAGCCTGATAATCAAAGATAAAACAAATCAAATAAAACAGTTCAAATGCGCCACAAAACTTGAGCTTCCAAAGTTTATTTTGAAATCATTTTGACTAGTTATAAACCTAATGCTATTAATCGAAATAATTTTTACAGCACTTAAAAATGCAACTGCCATGGGTGAAAAATGTGGTATTATTGATAACTAAATATTACCAGCAATTATTCAAAATAATGCAAAGAAAATATACTTTTTACATTTCTATTAATTTTAATTATTAAAATGGTAACAAAATATTAAAGAAAAAAAAACTATTTTTAAATAAACTGAAACTTATTCCATTAAAATAAGTTTTCAGTAATATTAAGCAATAGTTATTTGTGGAAATAATTTTAAAAAATAAAGTTGTAAATTTAAATGTTTTTCAACGCAACTTTGAAATACTTTATATTTAAATATTTTTTGAAAAATCACTTGGTAATTAAAATATATCTTTCGTTTCATTTAAACGTTGTTACCATAAGCTAATTACAGCAACTGTTTGAAGATGAGAAAGTAAGTCATAATCAGCAAATACAGACTTCTGTAAGATATTGATACAAAACAAAATTTATTCAAAAGTAAATTGACCTTTCATTTTTAAAAAATAAGAAAACATTGAAAATATTTGCCATTTAAATTATAAATGAAGAAATTCACGTAAAAATGATACAAAATTAAGATATTAGTAAAATTACGTTATATTATATTAGCTACATAAATTTACTTCGATGTTGTTTTAAAAGCAAAAACTTATCAAGCTTGATATTGTCAACAATATCTTTTTCTGCTATGAGTAAAAGCAGTGAATTTAGGCGTTCAGTGGTCATAGTTGTTCGAAGATAGTTTTTAATCAATTTCATCTTGCTGAAAATTCTTTCATTTGTCGCAACTGTCATTGGTGCAGTTAACGCTAATAGATTTAACAATAAAAACTTATGAAAGCATTTATGCTAAAATGTATGATTCTGCATTTTTAATACAAACTGTGAATTGAATTTTTACATAATTACAAAATTATTAAGTTTTTTTT